AACCTGAATGTGGAAGGAATCATGAGAAAGGATGTCTACAAAGCACTTTCCTGGCTAGCTATATATTTCAGATTTTTTTCATCTATGTTCACAACGAAACATAACACTTCAGAAGTCAAAGCGTTTACATCAATGTTAAATTGAGCTTCCTCAACTTACTTTCTTATTTTTACACTTCTAATTTCGACCAGAGAAGTATTGGTTACTTATTTGATCTGATATTTATAAACCAAATCATACCATATATACGCACAAAATTATATGTTTCTGATTAAAAACTTCTGTTTGGTGAATTACGATCACCATACCGCAGCTTCCTATTTCCGTTCAAAACATACTCGTAATGCAAGCGTGAACTGAAGCGCATGTATTTAGTTAAATTTTCATACGTCAAAGGGAGTGAGCAATAGCTCAACAAGTGAGTAATTTTAATTGTTCAAGAAAAATAAGAAAAAAATTCCCAAAACAAATAGGTAAAAATAAAAAATAAAATAAAATCGAATCATAAAAAATAAAAAATAAAATAATTTAAATTAACAAAAATAACGTAATATTAAATAAAATTAAAATAAAAAAATAAAATAACGTATAATAAAATAAAATTATTTTAAACAAAATAAAATAAAATAAAATATAAAAAATATAAATTAAATTAATAAAAAAAATTAAAATATAATAATATGAAATAAAATAAATTAACATAAAATAAAATCAATAAAAATTAAATTCAATTATTTTTAATTAAGCAAACTGAATAAAATTAGATAAAAAAAAAGAAAATAATATAAATAAAAATAAAATAGAACAAAATAAAAAAATAATATAAAATAAAATAAAATTAAGTAAAATAGAACAAGATATAAATATATCGAACTCGCATTTATATTCATTAATCACCTACAAAATGTGGTTCGTCATTCTAAAATACTTATGTACGCAGATTTGTGAAGTGCAAATATATACATATATTTGTCCAAAAAATCATTCCAATCATTAGCCTATGTGATACATAATCACAGTGTCGATTTAGGTGTTACAATGAACCCTAAGCTAGATTTTAGAAATCATATAAATGCTCGTGTTAATAAGGCAGAAGATATTTTAGCTTGCATTATACGTTCGGATAATTCATACATTACCAAATTACTCTTTAACCCACTTATTAGACCCATTTTGGAATACGGCTCAGCACTAACAATACTACTATTTACAAAAGTTGTTTACGGCTGATTAAACTGCCTACACTACATAGTCGTATGAAAATGCCTTGAGTTTTACTTTTAACTAAATTGATAAGGGGTGTTATCTATAGACCACTCCTATTAAGCCTACTTAACTTTATCATCCCTTTTATATCAACTAGAAACTTTAGGCCTTTTTTATTGTGTTCATGCTTAACAAACTTTGATATGCACGGACCTTTTAGATTTGGTGTAACGATTTTATTTCGCCAACATTGATTCCTCTGACTCGCCTTTTTGTATGAAAACCTACTTACTGAATGAAACATATGCAATAAACATAAAATTTAAAATATATGGTTTTATGTGCATATGCATATCAAAATTAATTAAAAATCAACTGAATTTAATTTATGTCAAGTTTCGAGGCAAAGCGTTTCGTTAAAAGTACCTACTGGAGAAGGTATTTAGAAACAGCTTTTTATTTTTTGACAAAACTGTGGATTACGGATGCCTTTGGAATTCAAGTAATATTAAATTTGTATTCATGGATGAAAAATGAATTTTAAACATGCGATTAGTTTTTGGTATTTTGATATTCGGAAAGAGTTTTTGGTAAGGCTTTATATAAGATTAGTTAGCAAGAGTGGGCATAACAACTAGCATAAATTTATAATTTATTGTAGACCATCAAAATTTGGAAGAAAATGTATATAAAAGTAATAAAAACAACTCCTATAGAAAGATTTGTTTACTTTTTTTAGTGACTCTGACATTTCAAATATTCCGTTACTGAGAGATTTTACCCTTCTAGAGTATAACTCCTGCATCTATTGTTGTTTTTTAATTGCTTCCTGTTCCAAAAGTTGTTTGTTCGAAACTTCTTTCTGACCACAAATCAAATTTCTGAAAACAAAATTTTAGGAAAATATCAAAACCAAATCGCAGTTTACAACGGAAAACTCTTCTCATAAAAATTTGATAAGAAAATCAAAATTAACAAAAAATACTACGCTCAAAATATTTTCATTGTTTCTAATACAAAAAAACAGAACTAAATTACAAAATCATGATTAATATTCTATTAACAGAAAGCTGGAAAAAATTTTTTTTTAATCTTATTTCAAAAAAAAGATCTTTTTTTCAACTCATAACCATTATTTTCTATATCATTTTCCTTTTGACAGTTGTAATTTCAAAACAACAACAAACAAAGTGATATTTCTAAAATGCTCTTTTATTTTATACATATTTATTTTATAATGTATTTATGAAAATATCAAAAATTAGTTCTTCTTTTCTTCAACAATGAACAATTATGTTTATCACAAGCAAAAACATTTCGATTTAATGTCATCAACATATGATTCGAATTATACCGCGTTTTTTCTGCAATTTATCTAATGACACACATGAGCCATATAACAGATGTTTATATGTAATATCATATCAATGGGATTTTCCAAAGTACCGAATTTCGAAAATATGCAATGGGTATGTTTCTTGCTGAGCTGAGCGAGTGAAATAGCCAGAGACTTGACTGAAGTAAAGATATTTGCAGTGAGGCGCGAGTTCAAAACACTGATTCATCGATGCAGTTTTAATTGTGCGCTTTGACATTTTATTAGTGCTATCATGTTGTTGTTGCTCTTGAAATGAGCCGCTGAAAGTTGACAAGGTGGCAAGCAATCAATTTGACGTCACAACTTGATGAAACATTTTTCTGCTCTTATTCCCATTAACTAACTTTAACACAAGCAAGCGTTCTGCGGTGATTGTGATTTTTTCCCCACTACCCTCAGCATTTATTTTGGATAAACGTATCAATGCATGATCATGCGCAGAGCGGCTGATACAGCAATTGCATTTATAAAAGTATCAGTATGATATCAAAGAGAAATATTTAAAGAGAAAAAACACTGACTTCGATCTGTTGACTCATGCCAAATGAAATTTCATCAGCCTGAATGGGGATAGTAGTTGATGCGCGCCCCTAGCACTGAGCGGGCGGGTGGGCGCCCATATGATATTGCCAATATAAAAATTCATGTACAAGCACGCTATAATGCGACCGCAGTATGAACAGCAGCGTGTGCTTGGCACGCGTTGCAAGTACAGCATTAAAGTGGTTTGTTGTTCGGCAATTGAAGCGCGCGTTTCGGCTCCGACTCCGACTCTTAGCATACTCGCGCTCACTTCAACTGAGCAAATCTCATTGTATTATTAACTAATACAAGTAATTACTTTGCTAATAGGTGTATGTATGTAAATAACATGCGCGTGCTGACGCTCACTCAACCATAGCCATAGGACACACACATACTTATGTTATCTTTTGATTTTGAATTGAATTACTCTGTAAGCGCCTGCCCGCATGCTGCTTACTACTGGTTAGCGAGTAGTCATGTTGCGCACACTAACATAATAACCGCTCAGTGGGCGTATGCGCATACATACGTACATATGTATTTTATAATCACAACTTTTATACGCGCTTGCCTTCTCGCTGTGATAAGAATGTAAATACTAATTTTGTTTGTTTGTATGAAAGTCATAAAAGAGTCGCTTTGTATTAAACCAGTGCGCGCGCCTGGATTGGCGTAGTCGTTGACGTCGGCAGTAGCGCTTGCTGCAAAGTGAACAGCAAGACTGCTGCAGCGTTGGCATGCGACAGCGCATGGCGCGTATTAAGCAATTTTTATGTTGGCGCTTGCATTACATACTGACACCATCCGTTTGTTTCATTAAGCACCATTATAGCTCTTCCTGGATGAGCGTACGACTGAAATTCAAAGAGAATTAATTAAAAATACTCTTTGAAGGGCTCGTCTTTTAGTTTAAAAAAATCCAAGAAAAGGAAAGTTTAAAAAAAAAAAATAGCAAAAAAAAAATATAATATACATAAATATAAATCTAAAATTTTATTGCCGTCTCAATGCATCAAGTATGTGTTGGTAATTAATACCCACCCTTAAGCGCAAGCTATCGACGCTCAGCCTAACGCAAGTCAAACCGCAATCTCTATCTACATACATATGTATTCGGCACGCGCTCACTATTGGCCAAAAAATAGTCAGTAAGTCGTTTGAACGGTTAATTGAGAAATTCATTGCCTCTTTCGTTGCTTATTATTGCCCGACATTAAGGCGCGACTGCATGACGCGACTGCGTCTCGTAAGCCGACGATGCTGCTAAAGCAAGCACGCCTCTCGGTCAAGTCCTAACTGTTAAGACGTTGTTACTTTTCTCCGCATGTGTGTTTGACTGCTTCGTCGCGTGTGTATGCGTGTGTGTGCGCTTGATGTATACAGCACTCAATTTCGCATTGAGCTTGTGTACATGCGTGTGAGTGTGCTTTCGATTGGCAGTGGGTTTGCTAGCCTGTATAAAGCTGACTGATTTCGGTTTGGCTCAACACTCATCATTCTAAAGCGAACCAGTAAAATTAAAAGAAGATCGTTGCTGTAAAATAAATACAATTTTTAATTAATTAATAAATTAATCAATGAAGTTATATACAGAAGTAAAATATTATTGAAAAAAAAAAAATTAAAAAAGAATAAAAGAACAATAATTAAATATAAAATTTTGTGGTCGCCATAAACGACATTTTTAAACAGTATTTTTTCGTTAAAATTACCGACTGAAAATTTGACTTTGCGCATAAATTTCGCAAATAAGAATATTTCCTTACTTTTCAATCAAAAAACTTTCACTGTGTTGCAAAAGTGTGCACGCAAAAAGTTTAAAAACTAAAATAAAACTAACAAACAAAAAATCTCTGTGATAATTAAACGATTTTCAAGTGAAAACCAAACAATAAAATTTACTAAAATGTTTACGCGACAAGTGTGTGAAAACAACAACAACAGCTGGAATATTAATAACGCACTAGATTGTACTGAATCGCGCACAGTGCGTACAATTAACACAAAAGTGCAACAACAACAACAACAACAACGGTTAACTACTACTATAAAAGTGCCATTTGCAAACCGTACAGTATTGGCCAATTTCAATAGCAACAATAACGGTACATGCAAAATGTCATCGACAAAAGCCGCCTTAACGAAAACGGAACTGCAAAACACTACCCCCAGCGCTAAACTGCATTCGAAAAAGAGGGTGTCACTGATGAGTAAGTTTTCTTAAAAGAGACAATAAATGAAAAAAGAGGAAAATACTTAATAAAAACATAAGCAAATAGGCGGTAATCGGAAAAAAGAGCGTGAAGTAGACAACAGATGTTTGGAATTTTTTATTTTTGTTCAAACTGTGGCTAGAAGAAATGTAATTTTATAAAAAAAAAAATGAATACAATTTTAATTTTATTCTTAGAAATTTTGGATGAATTGGGTGATTAAATACGCTAGAGTAAAGCATATTTTTTCAATTTTAAAAATTATTTTAAATATGAAATACGAGTATATGTTTTCCTCAAGTAGAAAATATTTTTGCACAGCTATTCAAAAATTCAAATATTTGTTTTAGTTCATTAAAAGTTTGTAATGTGTAATTAATAGTGCAGCGATATGCGTATACGCGCGTTAAACAGATATTAATATAGCAAGATTTTGAAAACGAACTTCTTCTTTGCCGCTTTTAATTAAACAAAACTTAGTGTTTTCATTTAGACACATTCAAAATAACTAAATGTTTCTTACTACATAAAAAAAAAATATAGATATTAATTTGGAAACTTTAGGCATCACAAAAGCAAATAAAAGAATTTTTTCCATAACTTCTGAAAATACGAAAAACTCTTTTTTTTTTGTAGAAAATCCATATATTGCTTGCATAAACAAAAACATGCAGATTTTCCATTAAATACATTTGGCCCATTCAAAAATTCCCAACACAACAGAAAACAATTTCAAAATATTATGTTAACCACATGGTTTTTTGTGCTTTTGTTTTTGTTAAAGAATAATACTTTGGTTTTGTTTCATTACTGTAGGTTTTTTTTATGCGTTGGGTACTAAAGCGTACGAAAGACCGCAAAGTTGGAAAAGACTAAAAAACTTGTGTTTATGTACAAACATATATTTATATATACACTTATTTTCCACATACTTACACATTTTGAAATATTATATATATATAATTGGCGCCTTGTAAGCGCTAAGGCGAAATTCGGTCGAGGAGCTCGTGGTTTTTCGTCTTGATGTGCTTCCAACAAATGAAGAGATCTAGGGTTCTTACCAAGCCGCCTCCGAAAGGCTGATGGTTTTATAATGAGAAACTTTTTTTCATGTCATAAATACACTCGGAGGGGTGACAATCCCTGCCGAGGGTCGACCGCATTTAGAAAGTTTAACTTAATTTTTAATATATTAATTACTATTAATGCTTTCATGTAGCACTACTGCGCTTAACATCCTTTAAAAATCAATTTAAATATATCTTAATATTCGTACATACATATATGTATACATGTATGAAAATATTTATACAATTTTGCTACTTGTAAAATTAGCAAATATTTTATTAACACCCACACAAGCTGAATACAATCAATTTTACGCTTGTTTCACACCGAACGCCTACATCGATTAGCCATACCTCGGATGCGTTGACTTGTGCCATAAGCAATAAGCGTTGTGACTCCTCAAGCAAGCTATCAACCTACATACAACACAATCAGCACAGTACAATAATGTGAATCCTTAACGGTTATATTTTTATTTTTGTATTATTATTATTATTTTTTGTTTGTTTTTGTTTGCTATCCTCAAACGCTTCATTGGAAATATATTTTTAGTTATGCATATGTCACAAACGCTCTGCCACTTCTATACACTCTCCGTATGTAGTATCTACAAATACGAGCGTTCATGTGTGTATATGTTATTCGTATGCACTCACCTGCTTAACGAAGTAACCAATAGCGACACGCCTTGCATACTGTCCGTTATACTTGTAGTAAAGTAAATGAACATAAAAATAGAGACGAATATAATATTGCGCTTATATTTTCTATAGGGCATGTGTATGTATAGTACATACATTCTTACTTATGTGCGTACATACGTTTGTTTGTCGTTAGTATATTTGCTTAATTAAAAGATAATAATAATAATATGATGAAGCATAAATAAATATAATTGCAATGATAGCTATAATTAAAAGACCCAAGTAGTGGGAAACATATACACTTACACAAGCATACAAAAACAATTGTAGTTTGTTTAAGAATGTTGTTTTGGTTAAATTGTGTTCAGCAGCAGGTATGTACATACATACACACATATATAGGTAGCCGGTGTGCAGCGCAAATATTGGTGGATACTTTTGAATTACTTTTCCTTTACAGGTCAACACGCATCCGCCTACACGTGTTCCGATAATCGCTATTGAACAATATATATATAGATACATACATACATACATATGTAGGTATATAATTAAAAAGGTGCGTGGTGTGTAGTGAGAGCTTAAACAAAAAATAAGTCTATTTATTTTTTTGAAGCAAATTCATTTTTAAATGAAAAATGATATTTTTATTTCAATTAAAATAAATAGTTTAATTAATATTGCAAAATGAATGCTAAATTAATTGAAAAATTTAATACAAGTCAGTAATTAGCATTATACTAAATAAATAATTTAATTAATATTTAAACAAAAACTTTAAAATGAGATGTGTATGATTTTGCCTAATTTACTCTCAAGCAATGTCCCTAAATACATACTATAAATTAAATCATAGTAAAAAAAATAATGAAATCAATAATTATACAACATGCACTTTTTTCTAATAGTTTAAAAAAACATTTAATTTACTTTAAAATATATAATTCATTTCCAATTTAGTAACAAAAACTTCAATGTACAAAACTATACCATGTATATTTATTTAGATAATAATTTTTATTTTAAATAAAAAAATTAATTCAAAAGAGCCTAAAATTATTAAACAAATTAAATCAAATTATACATATGCATATAACTGAAGGTATGATTGTATGTACATTATATGCGCTTACCTGATACTAGAAGGCCTAAATGATTCACAGTTTGTACATACATACCAATTTGTACATACATATACATAAGAGTAGATATAGTACACCACTAAGCTTGGGTGCGGTCAGATACTAGACCTTTATGCCTAACAAATCGACCAAATACTATATGTACGTGTATGTACAATTTTTTATTAAATAAATAACTTTTTTCATATATTTTTGGAATACATGAGCTTTTCGGACGCAACGATTATATACTACATTAAATATGTAACATTTTTTATGAATTAATGTCCTACCGCAATATTAACCGATAACTTTAGAAAGCACACTTGCCAAACACACACACACACACACACACACCAACAGCAATACACAAATTGAGAACGCAATGTTTATAAGCAAGAAAGCTTCACATTAAAAAATCAATATTGCTAAAATGGCAAAAGGACAATTAGCAAATTTCTAATACTCAGCTATGTGAGCAAACACATAAATACATATATATCTACAGAGCAGCAAGCAAAAATAAATTACAATCAAAAGAAAATTGCAGACAAATGAAAATTACAAGCCACTTATGCGCGTTATGCGCTTTACAAAATACCAATCGTTGCATACAAAGCTAATTTCTATTGTTAATGACGGGCCTTTGTGCCTTGATCTTGAACGCTGTACAAAAAAACTAAAATGTCTGGCTTCATGCTAGACTGGCTTGGACCACCTGTTAGGCTCATATCCTTAAAAGCACTCTGATTGCACATCTCGCATGCCAACACGCTATCGCTTAACAGTATACATATGCACATACATGCATATATATGCACATACATGCATATATATGCACATACATACATATGTATGCACATACTTTTGTGATGTTTAAAAAATACTACAAATTATTGTGGCATCGTGTGTGTCGCACTAATTGCCTGCAAGCTCGCTGAGCTCAATTTTTTCTATCTACATTTTATTTGTATATAATATAATATATTGTACATAAATGTCGCCACATACATATGTATTTTCTATTCTTTGCCATAGCTTAATTTACTAGCGGTATTTAACATTATCCGCTTCAAAAAAGCTATAGAGCTAGCCAACTAGTTGCAATTGCTGCAATACATACACGTACATACGGGTATACTTGTATGAATCACACTTGTGGTAGTGTGTGAAAATTTCGCAACGTTAATTGGCGCAAAGCGGATCATAGACAGGTGTGGTGTGTATGGGTATGTGCGCGTTGGGTTTAGCGTATGTAGTGGTACTAGTTTTACTATATTTCGTACTTTTATTTAGTTATTTATTCAAGCAAGTGTTAGTTAATTGAGTGAAAATTCCGCTCTGTGGTAAATGAAGAGAGAAAAGGCAAAACTTATAATTAAACAAAATTATAAAATAAATAAAACATGCAAAATGTTTTATTTAAATTAAAGATAATTAAATGTGCATTTTTATATTTCTCAACTTTCAAATTTTACTAACCCTTTTTATAATTTTTCTTTTTTTTTTAGAATCCACTCTCCTGCCCATCATTTGCATTGTCATAGTCTTACAAATTTCCACCGCTTCTGGCCGAACACTACACGGAAGAAAACAAGCTTTGCATACACTCGAAAATCGTATGAACCACCACAGGAATCTGTTGCGTTACGAACTTGATTTGGCGCCCAAACATACTGAGAAACAAATACACCACCACTTGAATACACGTTCAACAGCCATGGAGTGCACCAAAAATATGACAGACCATCTAGAGTCTGTGCAGAGCCAAGCGCAAAATTCGTTAAAAGAATTACGTGACAAACTTGCTATCTTTGTAAGTAAAAACATATTGTCAGAAAATCAACGTAGTTCTTATTTTATTTATTTTCAAGTAACTTAATTCTATATTATTATTTCCCCTCTCATTTTATAATTTAGTATTTTATTTATTTATTTATTTATTATGCTAGTTTATTTTATTTTATTTTGTTTTATTTCATTTTATTTCCCTTAAATTCGTTTTACTTAATTTTATCTCATTTTATTCGATTTTAATTTATTTATTTAATTTAATTAATTTTATTTTATTTTATTTTATTTTATTTTATTGTATTGTATTTTATTTTATTTTATTTTATTTTATTTTATTTTATTTTATTTTATTTTATTTTATTTTATTTTATTTTATTTTATTTTATTTTATTTTATTTTATTTTATTTTATTTTATTTTATTTTATTTTATTTTATTTTATTTTATTTTATTTTATTTTATTTTATTTTATTTTATTTTATTTTATTTTATTTTATTTTATTTTATTTTATTTTATTTTATTTTATTTTATTTTATTTTATTTTATTTTATTTTATTTTATTTTATTTTATTTTATTTTATTTTATTTTATTTTATTTTATTTTATTTTATTTTATTTTATTTTATTTTATTNATTATATTAGATTTATTTTACTATATTTTAGTTTATTTTATTTATTTTAATTTTTTTATTTTATTCTGTTTTATTTTATTATATTAGATTTATTTTACTATATTTTAGTTTATTTTATTTATTTTATTTTATTTTATGTTACCACGAATTTTATTAATTATCCTCCTTTTTTAATTTTTTTATTTTAGACTCGTGCACGCTTCAATGATGAGCCATCAGAAACTTATAAGTTTTGGAGAAATCATTCTTTGAATTTAACCCATCCTTATACATTTTGCTATGAGCGTCACTATGATTCAACTGCAAGACCCGAATTTAAACATTTAAATTATCCAAAATTGACCAAAGAATTGGTAAGTGTTTGAAAAATTTTTTTCAATTATTAAAAATAATACTAAGAATATATGGAAAAACATATAAACACATAAACACATAATTGCATACTGACATTTTATACATTACTTCCTGCTCTTGTTTTATTGCAGTTCGAAGAGGAACTGAAGAAGATCTACAAAACCTGGAAAATCTTGGAAGGCGTCTATTATCAAACCGTTAACCCAACTAACATAAATAATTGGCGCGATAGAAGCTCAGAGGCTTTTAACAACATGTTGTTCTACTTCAACTTAACTTTAACTCAATTACAAAATAACAGGAATAATGTCGGTAATTTACTCGGGAACACAATTTCACACGAATTGGATAGCAATATTCCACTTGTATATAATACCACAGCACAGGTGAGGGAATGGTTGATAATTTTGGAAAGCATAAGTTTCTTGCATTATCTGACCGGACTGTGCACAAAATTGATTGAAATGTGTTCTTAAAGTCAAACTCAAGTTAAAATAAACCAATGCTTAAGAGGCCGTCACACCAATTCGCAAGGATATGCGGGGGAATATGCATCTATATGCGAGTAAGGGGAGAAGGTGCAAGTTGTGTTTAGACCTATTTCGAGTTGCCGGTTTTCAACGAATTTGGTTGTGCGATTTTTAGCTAAAGACTACTATATACAGATATATACATATATATACGTGTATATGTATATTTAAATGTGTATGTATATAAAATATGTGTATATGTATCTTTTAACAATATTTATATTTTTATTATGTAATGAAAAAGCTTTTGCTTTTGCGTTCTCCTACTTAAATATGAATATTCCTACAAAAATTATTATTTTAAATTTAAATAAAACCATTTTGTTAGAGACTTGACGATAATTGTTCGCACACAATTTTTGCTCTTAATATTTATTTATGTATATAAAATTCAAATTTAAAGCTTTAAGAGAAAAAATCATTTTCATATTTAATGAAAGCAAGATGTGACGATTTAAAATAAAATATTCAAAATTACGTCAAATTACATAAATTACAATGCATAAATTATTTCAAAGAGCTTAAAATAAAAAACAAAAACGAATTGTGAAACTCTGCTGCACGAATTGCGGAGAAACCATGCCTCCAACTGAATTTTCAAAATCTTTTAATTCGACGCTCAACTATATACACACATACACAAGCAAAAAATACATTTTTGTTATTTATAAAAAATTGCTAAAATTTTGCTGCTAACATTAAAAAAAAAATCAAAAATCATATGTATATACCAACAATGAAGCTTATTTTAATTAGATAATGACACTATGTCTTTGTTTATTTATAAACACATTTTTAACTATTTAATTATTAAATTATTTATTTATTGTACTTACTAAAATACTTTTTATATAATAATATATATATTCATACGCACACACATACCAATACATAATTACATTAAATATTTATATATATCACCAAAACATAGAAACAACACTTCAGAATGTGGCAAAATGTGTGTGAATATTTTTGAAGATTTGATAAAAAGAAATCAACAGAGATGCAAATATCATAACACATACAAAGCATCACGTGATGTTGCATGCCAAATATGTTATGACTGCAGTAACAACAATATTCTATTCAAAGTACTTATTGTGTAATGAAGCATTTTTCGGTACATATTATTTTTATTAAATGCAACATCGCGCATTGGGACGTGATATCAATTGATAATCACATGCAAATATTGTTCACACAAAATTTACCACCATACTTCTGTGTGCTAACACACACACACACACACACACACATAAACATTATATGTAAAATATTTGCTCTTAGCAAAACTTAGAGCTATATGCCCATCAATATTAGTATTTATTTAATAAAGCAATTATATTTAAACGAATTTGTACAAAGCCTTTGTAAGTACTGTATGTAGAATATATGTTTGTCGATGATGCTATAAAAACTTAAGCTTAATTTTTAAATAACTAATTGTGCTTGCATGTAAACAAGCAACTAAAATTAAAAAAAAAAAAATTAAATACAAAAAAATTAATGCATACGAAAAAGTCAAAAAAAAACATACAATTTAAAAAAGTAAATAAAAAAGTAAAACTACTAAAAATAAATGAAAGTTAAAGACAAAACAAAAATTGAAAACGTTGAAAATTCACTGTTATGGACTTAAATATTTGTAAACAAATTCGCAAAAAAAATATTAAAGTTAAAGAGAAAATCAAAATTCACGATCTTCAAACGTATGCTTATAATTAAACAATGGCTATGTATGCTCATGAGAGCAACCAATACTTAACACAAAAAAAAACAGAAAATACAAAAAAAAAACCTTTATTAGTATAATTAAAAATAATCATAATATTAAGCTATATTTAAAAAGAAATGCAAAATATAATGTAAAAAAAGCCAAAAAACCCAAATCATTTTAATCATTAAAGAATATTTATTTTCAAATTCATTTTATTCTATAATTATGTAAATAACCATGTACAATTATTATAAAAAATAATCCCATATACATATTTATTTATTTATTTCGCGCGAAATTAAACATTTATATTTTTTTCAAAATCAAATAAAACAAAAATAAAAACAAAAATTATTGTATTTTTCAAAAATCGTGTTACTCTACCAAAAAATATGTCAAAAAAATTTTACATTTAATTAAATAATGTATACTGTTATAGTATAATGCATAGCAAAAATCTTTAGAAAAAAAAAATTAAAATGAAAAATAAAGACAAAAATATAATTATTATGTAAATGACTATTTTAAGTACGTGCATATACATATGTGTAACCACAAATGCCAAAAGTGATTGTAAATTTTAAAATATTAACGAATTAATTTCAATAAAATGAATTTATCATCTGTAAAGTATAAACATATTAATGAATAAACGTCTTTTATTTAAATATTTAGCTGACATAGGCAAGACTGCTTTGTTGCTGTTGTATAAATTGCATATTCATGTACATGCATAACTACATATATATGTATATGGTATTTCTTGGGGGAAAAACCCAGCTACGTTTTCATTGAAAGGTGTAAGATAGTAAAATAAATAGAATTTTAATTAAAAAATTGCCGGCTATCATATAATACATACATAATAAGTAGATACTACATAGTTGTGCAACTGGTTTTCAAAATCACCACCTCAACACTAACCCACGTCAATGTTACAGCTTAGCTGTTGTGTAATGTATGTACATCTATCTGTACAATATAATATTTATGTATGTGAGCAAAGCATGTATTGCGGGTTTTTGGCTAAAAGGTACTTTTTTTTTAATAAATAATCATTTCATTTATATTGCAATATTATGATGAAATTATATTCACTAGCTATCACTTGAATTGCTTTAAAATATTTTCCCATTATTATTGGCAAAAAAAAAACCATTTTGTAAAAATGAGCAAATGTGATTTTCTTAAAGAAAATTGTTTAAATATTTTAATAATTTTTTATTTGTAATACCTTTTATTTAGTAATTGAAATTCAATTGACACGTTCTGTGGTTTCGGCATCATGCGATGCGTTGTGTTGTGATTTTTTATATGGCTGCATACAAAAATACACAATTACATAAACAAATTGTACATCTGTAAACGTTTTTATATATGTATTAAATAGAAAGATAATTTTACTACATTATTTTCATTTAAAAAATCACATCACATCCCATCGCATGATGCATATCACGTGATTACATTTATGTCCACTTTAATACACACTGGAAATGTGTGCAACCAAAAGATGTTTTGAGTTAAAATATAAGAAAGATTTTATGTTCGAAATACGGTAATATTATTTTAATGAAATCATAATGACTATGATAGACATCACACACTAAAGGCAGGGTGTGATGAAGCATACCATACCATTTTTGCTAGTTAAAAATTATGATGAAAAAAAAATAAAAGGAAAAATCATAGAACTGAAAAAATTTTCGCGTATACTTCAATATTATATACGTTCACAACATAGTTAGAGCATGCACATGATACCATTTTGAAGTTGCATATGATCTGTGATGTGATGTCGCGCAACAAAGTATTTGCTTGTTTTTGTTTATTAATTAGTAATATGTACTTATTATGCATATATAATTAATAAAAACATAAATATTTTATAAAAGTTTTAATGATACTCAAAAAATTATAAATAAATTACAGAATAAAAATTATCATTTAACAAATTTTTTATTTCATTATTTATGAAATGAGTCGTTATTATTAACTTTTTTCGATTTATTGAATTTTAACTTAAGATTAAATTCAATACCTGAACATAAATATCAACATACTTGTCAGCTCCTGCAGAGAACTTAATATTCTAAGTTCCTGTGCTCCTGTGCGTATCGTATAATATTATATCTTATCGTCACAAGCATGTGACTTCACATCAATTGATAATCTCGCGAAAGAAAATACAATATAAACAAACACTCAATAAACTCCATGTATTATTATTTTCTCAAACAAAAAAAAAAAAAAAAAAAAAAATAGTTTTAAATAATAAACTGATTATAGCGTGTGACAGAAGTGGTTTAGTGGTTTTTATTGTCGCTGACGAAATTGATATGGCGCTATTCTACAGGCATTGCTATTAAAAGAAATGGCTTCACACGCAAATTAAAACGACGGACCATGTGTGTATGTATACATACACTTGAAGGTATATATGGTAATCAGATCTGTATGTATTTGTAATATTATAGTCTCTGCACCATTTCTAAGTGATTATACATACAAGTATCTTGACTAAAAACCGTTAAAACCTCCATATTTCATAACGGTACTTGTTGCTTAATGAACCGCAGATATTGTACACTTTTTACACACACATATAACCCAATCGAACAAAGGTTCTAAAACCACAAGTTAAAATCAAAGGGTCAGTGTCAAAGGGATAGAAGAAATGCGCACTTAACAGGCTTTAGGCACATGTTCGGTATACAATTTTTCGGATAATTCTACCAATATAAATAAAAAATAAAAATATTTAGTAATAATAAAAAATAAAATAATAACAATATTTGGCGTAGGATTTTTTTGTTGTAATCAACGAGACTAGAGTTTTTTTTTCAATAAAAATACTCTTTAGCCGATCTGTCATTAGTTTTATATGCCTAAATGTAGACTACGATTTTTATTTAGGAAATTGTTTTTCTAGTCTCGAAAAGTAACTAACAGTCGCTGATCCTACAATTGCGTTGCGATAACCTACTCACTTTATAAATGTGTAAAAAATTTAAATCTGATCACCTACCGAGATTACGCGAGGAACTTAGGACTAGTAAAAGTTAGATACAATGAAAGGTTACACTATAGCGTAGATGAGATACCGCTCTTTTGATGATGTCCACTGTGAACATATGAAGGTCTATGATTTAAATTAACGCACCTGGAATGTTGGATGACAGAATTGTGAAGGTGCCAGCGGCCAACTGGGTGATGTCCTCGATAAACTAAGGGCTGATAGCATTCAAGAAGTGCGATAGACGGGAAC